CATGGCTGGTGTGGCTGGGTGCACCTGCTGGGAGGCTCCACCTGAACCCCATGCTGTGTGGCTGGTGCACCTGCTGGAAGGCTCCACCTGAACCCCATGCTGTGCGGCTGGTGCACCTGCTGGAGGCTCCACCTGAACCCCATGCTGTGCGGCTGGTGCACCTGCTGGAGGCTCCACCTGAACCCCATGCTGTGCGGCTGGTGCACCTGCTGGAGGCTCCACCTGAACCCACTTGACAGACACGCAGGGCCCCCCACTGACCTCCTGGCGCCACTAACGAATCCCTGCGCTCACTGCAGAAACCACGTCCCCTGCCCACGGAGCAGGCTCCCCCTGACCAGCAGACCAAACACTACCCGGGAAGAAGACAGCTCGCCCGACGCTCCTGGCAGCTGCCCCTTATCGTGCTGTGAAAGGCTGTCTCTCTTTAGGGACAAGGCTTTCCTGCTCTGGAACTGAACCTGAAGACTGGGACTCAGCAAAGCCAGAGCAGCCGTTCTAGGACGTGGTGCCAAGTCCTAGAGACGGGTGAGTCTCGGCTGCCTCCAAGCGGCCTGGCTGCAGAGGTGAGACTGTCCGCACGGCTCTCCCCCGACTGCGGGGATCTGGCTCTGCCCACCTCCCCTCACAGGCTGCTCACCTCCTCACCCGACAGCCACGGCCAGGTCTCGACCTCCCCTGCGTGACCTCTCGCATCGCCAGACGGGGCTGCCAACAACCTTCCATTGGCTTCTGGAGTTTTCTTTCTCTTTCTTCACTACTTCTTGGCTTCTGTGATGGTTCATTTTACACGTCAGCTTGGCCTGGCTATGGCCCCCAATTTAACTAACACGGCTCCGGGCGTTGCCGGGGTCTCTGTAGATGTGGTTAACGTGAGTGTCCCTCCCCAGCGTCCGTGGGCCTCAGCCGAGAGCAGTGTTCCCGGAGCAGAAGGGACGGGCCTCAGACTGCGGTCCGCTCCTGCCCAAGTCCCGGAGCCGCCTGCCCTGTGATTCAGGCCTGAGCAGGCTGACAGCAGGCCAGAGACATACTAACCCTGACACAGACATGGAGGCAGAGGAGGGAGGAGGAGGCGGAGACAGTGCGACGACCTCTGTCGCTTGTGTCTCTGGAGAACCCACTGACGGTCTCTCCTCTGCCCGTCCCTAAAACCTGACCTTCCAGTCGGCACCACCGTCTTCCTGTCCTGTCCCTCCTTCCTGCAGCACGAGGACCTCCTTCCTGCAGCACAAGGAGGATCCAGACCTTCCTCCTAAACCTCGTCATGGCCAGACCTCGCGCCCACGACTTCTCAATGGGCTCCTTTCCTAGATGTGCATGTAAGACTGTCTAGATGTGCATGTAAGAACCCTGAACTTTCCCCTTATCAGCACTTCACAAACACTGCCCGGCCTCTCCACGTCTTCCTCCAAGTCCGCCGCCACCTCCCTCGTGGGCACTGTCCTGGGCCGCCCACAGAACTTGCTCCTGCCCCTCTGGCTCCCATCCACTTCCGTGGTGCAGCTCACACGCTTTCCTAGCCCTAAGTGGGATGTCACCTCCCTGCAAACACCCCGATGCCCTCAGTTTGGTAAAAACCCAACTCCACGCAAGGCCCTCCGGGTGCACCCACCGCAGCTCTCTCTGAATCCCACTGAGTACACGCAGCTGCCAGCACCCTCCTGTGCACACAGCCCAGGCCCCACCCCACCATGCCCACTGAATGGAAGGCCCGTGGAGGCCATACTCCTTCCAGACCCACATGCTCTCCTCCCCTTCACCCAGGGCGGAGACAGAGCCTTCCCTTTGACCGGGAAGCCCCACCGGCCGCCAGGACTCAGTGGATCTGAGCCGTCCCAGTAGCCAGTAGCCACACACGGCCACTTCGGTTTAAATGTAAACAGCCCTGGCCAGGTAGCTCAGTTGGTTGGAACATCACCTCCAGGCGCCAAGTTTGCAAGTTCAATCCTCAGTCAGGGCACATACAAAAATCAACCAGTGCCCTGGCCGGTGTGGCTCAGTGATTAGAGGGTCAGCCTGCATGCTGAAGGGTCTCAGGTTTGATTCCCAGTGAAGCACAAGTACCTGGGTTACAGGTTCAATCCTAGGCCTAGTCACAGCATGTGCAGGAGGCAACCAATCAATGTGCCTCTCTCAATCCATGTTTCTCTCTCTCTCTAGCTCTCTCTCTTCTACTCTCTCTAAAAATCAATGGAAAAAATATCCTCAGATGAGGGTTAACAAAAAAAAAAGAATTCACCAATGAATGCATAAATAAGCAAAACAACAAATTGATGTTTCTCTGTTTCTCTCTCTCTAAAAATCAATTTAAAAGATTTTTAAATACAAAAATTTAAAAAACATACAAGTTTTTTAAATAAAATTTTAAAAATAAATTTAAAGTAAACAAAATTTTACAAGCAGTCCTGCAGTCACATGAGCCCCGTTCTGAAGGCTCGATGCCACGTGTGATCGTGGTGACGTAGTGACCAACAGAAACGCTGCATCAGCGCCAGCAGACTCGACGGCCTGCCCAGGCAGAGGAGACGCCACCTGCAGTCGCCGGCGCCTGCCCCACGCACACTCCATGTGGGCGCTGTCCGTGCCCCGGTGCCCACGGTGAGGCCAGCCTGGGCAGGTGCTCAGGAGCCTTTATTCAGCGTGGTCAATGGAACACCACCAAGCCCTTCATCACTCCCTACAATGACCTTCTGCACGCGGCAAGTCCCCATCAGCTGTTAGCGCCACTCTTCCCTCCCCAGAAACACACAGCCCTGCTGTGCGTGGTGCTCCGCAGGAATACTGGGGACAGGAGTGGCATTGGGCCCGCCCCCCAGTGGTTTCCATACCTCCCAGGCCTGGCTCCACCAGAACAGACTTCTGAAACCTCTGCCTGCTCGCCTGCTCTGTCGGGGTTAAGGCCCCTCCCCCAGGCCCAGGCCGCTCCTCCCTCTGCAGGCCAAGCCCTCAGACTCAGCTCAGTCTGCCCCTTCTCTCTCGATTATCACACTTTGCATGGCTCACTTGAGTGACATGTGGCCGGTAGTGATTCCCAGGAGAATTATTTCAGTATTATTTTTAGCTTTTTTTAAGGTCTAGAGGACAAGGACTATCTCTCCTACACACTTAAATCCTCTGCTTTGACTATGATCGTGTTGTGGTCTGTCAGGTGCTCAGATATCTGAGGACCAGAACTCAGGAATGAAGACATGCAATTCCACAACAAAGCAACTCAAAACTGGCCCTGCCCGCAAGTACAGCAGGAAAGCGACTGAACACCAAGACGAAGCCAGCTGCTACCAGTGCCGCCAGTTTAGCTGCACATCACAGTCACCCGGAAGCTCCAAACACCGGGGTCCAGGCCCAGCCCGCCCACACCAGCATCTCTGGGGGTGGGACCAGGCATGTGTCCACTCTGACACTCCTGAGGGTGATGCCCACGGGCAGCCAGGGCTCAAGCAGCACCTGCTCCTGGCAACGTCTTGGCCTTTGGGGATGTCATAGGCCTGTCACACACGAGCCCCTCCAGGCCCCAACCTCCCTACAAAGAGGCTGTAGACAGCCTTCTTATCTACAGTCCAGACTGAAATGAAAACTAGGGTATGACTACTTTCTTTGAAAAATAAACTTCTGCTTTTCTCCAGATTCTAAAGTTTCAAAGCCACCTTTTATTCTCACTCCTTCACCACCAGCCTGAGCAAGGTGCTAATTCATAACGAGGCATCAGCTGCCACCACAGGGCCCACCATGAGCCTCCTCTGACTCCCCCACCGTGACAACCTGCACAAGGGGTCCGGACGAGTCTGCAAATAGGAAGTCCTCGCTGGCCGGTCTCCCAAACAGCAGACCCCAGGCACCACGGCGCTGGTTCAGAACTCCCTCCTGCTGGGTCTCTGGGGTCCCACTACAACCAATTTGGACACCACAGCTGCCGTAAGAGGCTGTGGGGACCACAGGGCAGCGCGTGGTGACAGGGGCCGGAACCAGCGCCCGCTCTCGTGGAGGGTGCCTCACCGGCTGGTCAGGGCTCAGCAGGTATGCTGCGTCCCCTTGGCACTCATAACTTCCTCTGGGTCTGGACCATGCTTCCTACTTCCTCCCTGGTCCACTGAGTGCTTTGTCTTTGTTTTGTTTTGTTTTTATGCTTTTTTATTGATTTCAGAGAGGAAGGGAGAGAGAGAGAGAGAGAGAGAGAGAGAGAGAGAGAGAGAGAGAGGAACATCAATAATGAGAAAGAATCCTTGATTGGCTGCCTCCTGCACACACACCCTCCACCCACTGGGGATAAAACTAGCAACCTGGGCATGTGCCTTGACCAGCAATCCAGCCATGACCTCCTGGTTCATAGGTCGATGCTCAACCACTGTACCACACCAGCCAGACCACTGAATGCTTTGTAATCCCAGGCAGGTACCTGTGCCACAGACAAGAGTGGGCCTGGCAGGAAGAAGAACATCAGTAGCAGAGAAAGGAATGACAGTACCAGAGTGACAGGAGAGGAAGGGCAGGCCCTAGGACAGGTGAAGGCGACACTCAAAGCAGAGGGCAGCGTGTTCTGCAGGACGGTGTCTCCCACAAGAAGCGGGTTCTAAACTCTAAAAACCCACCGCCCCGAACACCTGTGCACGTCACAGAGGATCAGGTGGAGGTTCTTCCCCTGACAAGCTCACACCCACTGGGAAGAGGAAGCCCATTCATCCACCTGTCAAAGGAGAAAACGCTCACCCCATCATGAGCAACTCATAGCCACTGACAGAAATCCATGTCCAGGAGGACACAGGGAAGACCCTGGAGCACACCTGCTCCTCGCTCTCAGACAAGAAGACCCAGAGGCCCACACCTGCTCCTCGCTCTCACGGACAAGAAGACCCAGAGGCCCACACCTGCTCCTCGCTCTCACAGACAAGAAGACCCAGAGGCCCACACCTGCTCCTCACTCTCACAGGACAAGAAGACCAGAGGCCCACACCTGCTCCTCACTCTCATGGACAAGAAGACCCAGAGGCCCACACCTGCTCCTCACTCTCACGGACAAGAAGACCCAGAGGCCCACACCTGCTCCTCACTCTCACGGACAAGAAGACCCAGAGGCCCACACCTGCTCCTCACTCTCATGGACAAGAAGACCCAGAGGCCCACACCTGCTCCTCACTCTCACAGACAAGAAGACCCAGAGGCCCACACCTGCTCCTCACTCTCACAGACAAGAAGACCCAGAGCCCCACACCTGCTCCTCACTCTCACAGACAAGAACCAGAGGCCCACACCTGCTCCTCGCTCTCCCGGACAAGAAGACCGAGAGGCCCACGCCTGCTCCTCACTCTCACTGACTAAAACCAGAGGCCCACACCTGCTCCTCGTTCTCGTAGAAAAGAAGACCCAGATGCCTACACTGGCTTTTTTCTCTTTTTGACAAGAACGAGAGACCCAGACCTGCACCTCCCTCTCGCGCACGAGAAGACGCAGGAGGCGAGGCCTGCTCCTCGCTCTCG